AACTCCCGATGGCGGCCTCGAGCCCGTCGGATCGGCCTTCTACCCCGAAGATGTCGCCAGGCGGCTCGCCGCCGCGAAGCTTGTGGGCAACAGGGAGGCGGTCGTGCCGTTCTCTCTGAGAGGGGTCGGGCTCCCCGGCGTCCCCGGGGTGATGGCCGAGCTCGCCGACCCGAACGCGAAGCCGAACAAGGACTTCTTGCCGCCCGTGGACGCTGCCCTGAGGTAGGGGTGGGGGTGGGGGAGAGGGGGGGGCGGTACTCATAGCCGTGCATGTGCCGTACTCGTTGGACCATTGGCCACGCATCCCTACAAAACCGGGACGGAGAACGCCGGGTTCTCACCAGACCAGGCTCTCACATCACCAAGCACGAAGCGCGGTGAAGCCCTGAGGTACGGGGGGGAGGACAAGACGCAAACCGAAACCAAAACCACATAAAGTTGAGTTCCAACACCTATGATTTGGGAAACGCCAAAAGCATAGCATTGGAGGAGGGGAGAGGGAGGCTACTAAAGGGGGGATACTGTAGGGTTGCAGTTCTCACTCGCTCATTGGGAGGTGTAAGTCCTCTCGAAATGCCGTGGAACTGTTGGATGCGGTCGACAAACCTGCAAAACCGAGGAGAGACACAACCCACCGATTCGATCGAACGGTACGAGATCGACGGAAGGACCCTTCACATGCACGTAAAGATCCTTCACATGCACGTAAAGAACCATCACATGCACGTAAAGATCCATCACATGCACGTAAAGATCCATCACATGCACGTAAAGACCCTTCACATGCACGTAAAGATCCATCACATGCACGTAAAGACCCATCACATGCACGTAAAGAACCATCACATGCACGTAAAGATCCATCACATGCACGTAAGGACCCTTCACATGCACGTAAAGATCCATCACATGCACGTAAAGATCCATCACATGCACGTAAGGACCCTTCACATGCACGTAAAGATCCATCACATGCACGTAAAGACCCATCACATCGACGTAAAGGTCCTTCACATCGACCTTGCACTGTTCCAATCGGTGGAACAGCTGCTGTATCTCTCCTTGGCTTTCGGGTTCGTAGACCACATGCAGAATTTCCGTGCGTCTGGAGGGAGGGGAGTTTCTCCTCCAGATGAACAATTTGTCGTTCTCGCCGACTGTATGTATCGCAGAAACCAGGACTTGCCAACCATGGAGGCGTTGTTTGTCTGTAGCCAACAGTGAAGCCTAGCTGTGCTCGGGGCTGCGTTGTGTCGGGCATCGCGCCCTGTCCGTCTCAGCAGTAGCTGCCATGATCTTGTGATCTCGACTCGGGAAAAATTCGTTCAGGCCATATGAAAGAAAGCACAACGTTCTTACCATGCCATAAGAAGCAAAGAAGAGAACGAAACATCCTGAGAGTGAGCCTCGGGGGCACCCGTCACTTATTCACGATTCCTCCGGCTCGTCACAGCAGGTGGAGAACCTTTCTTTGAAAAAACATCTTGTGACCCAGAGAACATTGCTCGTAGGGCCTCGGTGCGTGCGTCACTACCACCAGGAAGATACCTTTATCCTGGTCTCTCCAAACGAATCCTTCTATATGTCCTGGTTCATTTTATTTTTTTTCGTACGTACTACACCTGTCGTCGTTTTTTTGGTTTGGCTCTCCCGAACAGGCACGTGGTGCACGCTCTCCTAGAGGGGCACGAGGCGGCCAAGTCCACGGGATTGTCACAGCAGAACCCGGTCGAGCAGGTGCGTGCTTGATTGGACGGTGGAAACCCACCTCACAAGAGCAGAACTTGATGAAATGCCGAAAAACATTTACTATGTTACTAAGTTACAGGTAGCCTTTCAAGCATCGTCATCGCACGCGCCGATGCGGAAATCTGCAGTTATCATTCGCCTGCTGTGTGTCGGGACTCGAATCCGGAGGTCTCTGACTGCTGTTTGATGCGAACGGAGCTTCGGTTTGACAAAAATTGCGGAAAGGGCCGGCAGATAAAGGCAGACGTAGTAGCAGGATCGCTTTCCGTTCGTGATGGGTGTAACCGTCCCCCAGCCCTGAGACTCGGTTTGCTCTTCTCGCGGCATGTGGCGAGGAATGCCAAGTACTCGGACAAGCAAAGTAGGTTGATGGTAGGGGTCAGTCCGAGAGTGAGTGCGCCTTTATGGGACACCAATCCAACTTCCCAGATTCACCGAATCGTCCGCACCATTGAGCGGATCGTTCTTCAGATCGTTCTTCATGTTTAATGGTTGGGTCCGAACAGGGTACTTGTGTCGAACGTGCAGTCTTTCTCTGATGTAACGTTTGTTTCCTTAGGGGTCACGGTCTTCACCGTGTGTTAACATGCAGTCAACGTTGTTTATGTTTAGCCCGCGGCCTGGACGTTCATGGCACTTGCTCTGCCCAGTGCAATATAACGGCATGCCGCAGCAGTGTTGTCCACGTGACTGAGCGCAGCAGCAAGCACAACGTTTTGGTCGCATGCCTCTCCTCGGGTATCTACACGCGCGTGCGAGTTGTTGCGCCGGCGCAATCGGCTTAATCGTCTGTTCGCCCTCTTGCGTTATCTCCCACGGTGTTTTCCCCGGCAGGTGCAACTGTGTCTCGAGTATCTGAGGGACAGGGTCGGCGTGCCTCGCGACCTCCCGTTCGCAGCAGCAAGACAGGTGAGGGCATGCTCTTTGAGGCGTGGACTTGTGTTGTTTTCGGCTGGAGTGTGAAAGAGTGTGAAAGAGAGAGAGAGAGGGGGGGGGGGGGGGGGGGCAAAAAAAAAAAACCCCCCCCAAAAAAAAAAAAAACCCCCCCCTTTAACCTCTCGGGAGGGAAGGGGTTTTTCGGCCAACCCCCCCCAAAAATTTTTTTAAAAGAAGCCCCCCCCCCCAAAAAAAAAGGCCAAAAAAAAAATGGGGGGGCCAAAATTTAACCAAAAAAAACACGGGGGGCCCCTTA